GTTGTAGATGTCTATGGGCTCCAGTAACCACTTAACACTAGGTGGGCTGTGAGCTCGTCCACCCATCTAAGCAATAAAAAAAAAGTAGTTAGATGATATTATGTACTTTTCAAAATGACTATAATCTTGCGATATCTATTGATGTCAACAGACACATAGCACGTGTATGAGATCATCTGTACTGCGCTGGTAAATAATAAATATATTACATTGCTTCTCAACCGAAACTCTTTTTTTTTTTTCATAAATCAGACACATTCAATACAAATTAAATTTTAAGTATGTCAAAAAAATCACTGTTAACTAAATAATATAGCAACGGCGGGAGTTAACCGCCTGCTGTATGTAATTACCAGAACGGAGTCTAACACACAAGCCGCATTCATAAATTATGTCCACAGATAAACTAACAAAGTCTTAAAGCCGACGTTTATTACGTGTCGATGTTGATAGAATCGAGAGAACGCCGGCCCGAACTGAAACGTCATACTTTATTTTATTTCGGATTCGATACGAAACATAGGAAGCTGCTCTGTGTAAATTCCTTCCAATCGTACGCTAGGTTTACGTCATGGTACAAGACTGGATTTCGAAAATGCACGTGCGTTCCGTAAACAACATCACAGATTCCGAACTGAATGACTTTGATGTATTTTTTTTCTTGTATAACAAACATCCCTTTGAATCCTTTTGGATCCGTTTGGGTGTTTATTATGTTCCTTCCCGATAAACATTAGCACGAAAATTTGCGGGCTTCAACCAATGTATTTATCTTGTTGAGTTCTTAGACGCAGAGGGTAACGAACCCTATTTCGAAGCCGCAGATCATATATTTGCTGAGTCAACGTCAAATCGTTTGTCATTGTTATTGACAGTCTCAACGACTGTAGAGCTAACAGTCACTGCGACTTGGATGTACTAATACATTACTATCCAAAACTAATAAATAAATATATTTGTTCAAGCCAAAATCCAGTATAAGCTGCACTAGTTTTGATAGACAAATATTGTGAGCCTTTTCGGAACAGAGAATGTACCTAGGAGCAAATTTTCTGCTTCAGGTATAGCAATCACAGTGCGTGAAAATAGGTTTCTTTCCTTTTTTATAGACAGGTACAGTGGATCAGTCACGAGACACCTCAGCGTTTAGGGAAACTATTTATCGTTTGCTTACGAAGATATTTATTAAAATTACTTATTGTTTTTAAGCTATTGCATAGATTTTATCGTGGGCCTTGAGCGCGGCGACCGAAATCATGAAATTCCGTAACGAAAAAAACCTGACACCCCTCACTCCGCCTACCATGTAGCTCGCGTTCAACACATTCACACGTTGCGCTTGTGTAGTGTTTGTGAATAAGCGCGTGGCGTGACGTCACACTGCATGCGCATCATGAAAATTCTGCCCATCTCTGTCTCGCGCGGTCTAGCTTATGAGTGTGAAGGGGACAGTTAAGGTTTTGCTTTTATTAATGTTTAATATAGCGTGGTCTTGTTTTATTATTGTTTTAATATTAAATTATCACTGTCTAACTATAATTGCATAAGTTGATAAAAAATGCTATGCAAGCTTTACCGCGGCACTTCCCGAGTGCCATACGTTTTTTTTTTATTGCCCTTGTATACAGACAAGCATACCTGATGGTGAGTGGTTACCGTCGCCCATGGACTTCAGCAAAGCCAGGGGCAGAGCCAAGTCGCTGCCTAAAAAGCCTTGTTTAAGCTACTTCTATTTGACTTCATACAGAAAAGGGCCGTTCCCATCGTCGATAATACCATTCTCACGGGTCGTTTGGAACCTATGAGTCTGCGAAGGGACTTCGGTTCTCCCTGTATTTTGTACCGTATATTCTATGGGGAGTACTCTGAGGAATTGTTTGATAATCTCGTTTTTACCATCGCACCGCCCGCCTCCGGAGTTCATCCATACTACCTAGAACCACTGGGTTCATCCACCGTGCGCTTCCAGAGAACTTTTTTGCCACGGATCATCCGACTTTGGAATGAACTCTCCTCCAGGGTGTTTCCCGAGCGCTATGACATACCCTTCTTCAAACGAGACTTATGGATAGTCTGTCGAATTGAATTAATTCTACATTCTAGGTCTGTGTGAGATGCAAACGTTATTTTAACGTTCATAAATATTGGAGTGCATGCTGGAAGTATCTTACTTTGACCGAAATATAAACATTTTAATTTCAGTTTTTTGTTACGTTTTATTTTCGTTGTCTATTATTATTTATTAACAATAACATACTTACATACATGTTTTGTTTTAAACGGATGATGATGTTCCGAAACTTTTTTATAAATAAACTTTTAGCTAACGATACAGCCACTCGTCATAATACATTTAATGTGGAATGCATACTGTAAATTTGGTAGAGCGTTAGGTTGACAAATTTAACTTAATTCAAGAAAAATGTTTTTAGAACATTCCTTATGGTCAATGAGAGTCAATGGTCAGTAGTCGCAGCAAGCGCTCAGTGAGGCCGTCGGTATTCGCGTGACGCAATGAATGCGATATAAGTACGCTCGTTATTGCTGTCCCCCAAGTTTTGTATGCTTTACATTGCGGGCTCCGGAAGTACGCAAAATAGATAGCTTTCGATGAGTAACATTTCTATTTCAGAATAATGTCAAAAAGGCAATATATTGACAACTAAATACTAATACCAGGGGCACACGGATATCTGTAACTTCAATAAAATTGTTTTAAGTGAACAATTTAATTTGTTAGGATTTTAATCATTGTGGTTGGATAGACGGTATAATATATATGATATCTAGTCACAAATTGCGTAATGAGCGACCATCTTTGATGTAAAATTGTTTGCATTCATTGATCCAAAAATAAATGTAATGGTTTTTTTAGGCGTTATTTTTATATTTTAGGCCAGACGTTCGGGCCCAAGAAATAACAAAAAACTAACAACAAATCTCGGTTTTTTGCTTCTGATTCCAAGAGATGTATTTAACAGTAAAAGTAGTCGTAATAGTATGTATTAATTTATAGAAACGATAGTTTGCAGTACACTAAAATAGTCCTTTAATAGAAAATTTAAAACTACATAATGGAAATTCGTTTGTTAGTTCGTTATGCGAATATGCTCAGTGAAATTTCTAATTACCCCGTTACGGTTAAAACAAAGGCACTTCGATTAGAGAGAGGCGTTAGAGGATTTAATAGGTGACCTAATTTTCGCAGTCGTAGGGCCACCCAAGGCTTAGAAATTAAATTAAATCTTACGATAAATTCGAAAATTAGTTTCTTTGCTACGCTTTCGTGTCTTAGCTACGACAAACAAATTATCACGATATTTTCTACACACGTTATCAGAGGTAGAAAAATAATTTTTGGGATAAATACTGCTTCGTACTAGTGCTAGGGATCCGGTAGGCTATTTATTCCTGCCGTGCTTATTTCTGCCGTGAAGCAATAATGCGAAAGGGGGGGAAACGTTTGTACTATGGGTGGACGAATCCACCAGCTCCTCTCATGTGGTTATCGGAGACGATTTAAATCAACAACATAGGTGGCGGCACCTAGTTTGAGACAAGAGTTCTATGGTACAGTGGCTCCCATGGAACCGTTCAAACCGGAACGCATTACTGCTTCGTAGCAGACATAGTTAGGATGGTACTACTTACCTATGTGGCTGCAAAAGACGCCCTACCATCAGTCATTACGCGAATTAATCAACAGAAGGGGTGTGGTTTTTCATCATGATAACGCTAGATCTCACACATCTTTAGCCACTCAGCAAAAATTAAGAGAGCTTGGCTGGGAGGCGTTAATGCATCCGCCGTATAGTTCTGACCTTGCACCTTCAGATTACTACCTGTTTCGGTCTCTTCAGAATTCTTTAGGCAGTGTCAGGTTAACATCACGAGAGGACTGCCAAAACCAATTGTCGCGGTATTTTGATTAGAAGCCTCAAAATTTCTATAGCAATGGGATCATGTCCCTACTTACAAGATGGCAGATAGCTATCGAACAAAATGGTACCTACATACTTAGTTAAATGTAAATAAACTATATTAAAAAATGTTTTTAGTATAATTTTTTTAAAAATGCGAAGAAACTTTTCCTCAACCTATTATAATTTTTGTAGGTTTAATACATAATGCAAGGTGCAAATACATAATATTTATCATTCATTCTGGAAGAAATTTGTAATGATAATGACGTTTGTGATAATGCGCCAAGTACGTATTTCATTACAAAAATAAGTACCCGACTGCGGGTTTTAAGCACCAGTATGAGTTTTTCGGACGTCTTAGGCTTTAGTCTACGACGACTTTGAAATTTAGGAAATATTCATTAGTGTGCTGGCTGTTTATAAATAATACCTACAACTCTTCGAAGTCTAAGAACACACCAGATTGAACAAGTTATTTGCATCACGGAAGTATTTATTGCCCATCATCATAATATATTTCAATTTATAATTTAAAATAGAACGCAAAAGTGTTTTCTTGAAAAGAAGTNAGGCTTTAGCCTACGACGACTTTGAAATTTAGGAAATATTCATTAGTGTGCTGGCTGTTTATAAATAATACCTACAACTCTTCGAAGTCTAAGAACACACCAGATTGAACAAGTTATTTGCATCACGGAAGTATTTATTGCCCATCATCATAATATATTTCAATTTATAATTTAAAATAGAACGCAAAAGTGTTTTCTTGAAAAGAAGTATTATAGTTTTTGAAGTTTGAACTTTTCAGAAGACAATATTTAAACATTGATGTGTATGATAATATCCAGCCGTGTTGTTATAGTTTTCATAATCTTTACGTAGCGTAAAAACATTAAAATGTATCTGTTTAGAAGTCAACCTAAACAAATTATCTCAAACGCGATAGTAAAACCGGTATCAGTTTCTTTGTAATAATGATATACATTTTTGTCTGTAGTTCTTGCATACTAAACTGCAAAAAGAAGTAGTTTAACTTTTTCTTTCATTTTTATTAACATCATGAATAATTACTTTCAGTTTCTGGACGCGGAAGCCGCGCTGGCCGCACAGGAAGCCGCTAATAATGACGTCACATCTGAACTGGACCAAAACAATATAGAAATAAAAGTCATCTCAAGTAAAGAAAATAGTATGACATCCATAGACGATCCTGAGAAACTATTGCCGAACAAAAATGATGCAGCGGTGCCTTTAAAATCAAGCAATATCAAAACAGAGGTTGAGAACAACTCCTTGATAATGCCAATAATACTAGTAAACGATAAGCCACCTGAAGATTTCGATCAAAAATGGATAAACATCGTTGAGACTGTGAATAGTAATGAAAAATTCAAAAGCATTCACACAAAGAGAAAAATCAGACGAAGATTTTGCAGGAGCAGAAAGCACGCAGTATTCAAGAGGTCTTATTCTATTGGTTGAACAGTGATACTATCGAAAAATTACTTTAGGTTTATACGCAAATGTATACTAATATTAATAAATTCATTTTTAATATTATCCTTTTTATTGGTCTACGTGAGTTCACAGTACAGATTTTATTTAAAATTATAATAAAGTTTCGTACTTTACAGTTTTCTTGGTCACGGATGACTTATGTAATATTTACTGGCAATAGGAATGTTGTAAGCTCGCATATGCGAATTAGTTAAGTTTTCGGGAGCTTTTTACACGGCCAGATTTTTTTATACTTACATTGTTCCGTCATCATGGGTGTTGTTCGGGAATACGTGTTGGGTATTTATTTATTTTTTAAAAACGCTGCTAACTGCATGCGAATGTTAACTACAGGGTAATTGCATGACTTAATTGCACGTCCACTCCCAACGGCTTACCGATAAGTGGCCTTATCACTACACAAAATATTGTTGTGACGATAAATTGCTACGTATCTACTTACATACATACTACAAAATAACAGTAAACTACATATTACAATTTAGGAGCGTCAGACCATAAACAGCACATCATTATTTAAATTTAAAGAAATATATTAATTAATAGTTTTTGTTCCGACCCTCCTCAAATAACATATTACGTACCTAACATCTGTATAATATTACCTACTTACCTACCTGAGAAGTTCTATCTTATCACAACTCATTATCTAACAGAAGTGATATGTCGCTAAGTTTATTCAGCAAAATAAATACTTACTTCTATAAAGTCTATTAGCTAGCTGTTGACTCTGTATCTTACTCGCACTCTGTATTTAGAGAGAACGTGCAAGAAAGACAAACAGTATAATGAGTTTGTATTCTGGGCATCCCTTTATGTATTCGAGTAAGCTTTCAGAACAAAGACTTCATCAGATTACGAACTATATTAGTAGACAGCGGTACTACATTTTGGTTGAAGCACATAGAGAACGCTGCGGACCGTGATAAGAATATAAAGGTATCCTTATTTATGGCGGTTCTGTTCGGTACTGAATTGGAATCATCTCAGTACAAGTCAGAGGCACAAAATCGAATAAATCTTGCAAAAATAAAACTAAATTTAACGAAACAATAGATCATAAAATCGAGAAAAAAAGAATAATAGTAGTAATATTTAATAATAAATAGTAGATTTTGCTACCTATCTCCAAAGAAAACATGTTTCAGTATCTGAAAAGGAACACCGCTCAAATGTTTTGACATAACCGCATCGAACATCAGAACGAATTTTCAACAAAAAAAAGCTGCATAGCCGCTTAAACTTAGCTTAAACAAAGGTAATGTTTATCGATCCATTCGCGATGATGGTTAACAAATATCGGTAAGCAAACTAAGATGGATGTCCGGTTTGGTAAGGGGCACTACTTCACTCTCAAACACAGTACATAACCCGACCCGAATAAACATTCCAAACCCACAAATATCTCAAAGGATGGTTGCCGAAGCCGGAACTGTTGGCAGACGAAGCAAATTGAACAAACTACAAAGTTTAATGGAATTACGGAGGCAAAATCACTTGGTTAGTGTCCCCGAAGGAGGGAATGGGATATGTATGTACTGTATATGCATGCGTTATATGAGAGTCGATCGAAATTCTTCTCGGCGTTCGGCTTTGACTATTAATCGCTATTTTAGAACTTTACTAATATGTTGATGCCAAGTTAAATTAATTTACCATTTAAAAATTGCTTAAATGGGTGGACGAGTTCACAGCCCACCTGGTGTTAAATGGTCACTGGAGCCCATAGATATCTACTACGTAAATGCGCTACCCACCTTGAGATATAAGTTCTAAGGTCTCAGTATAGTTGCAACGGCTACTCCACCCTTCAAACCGAAGCGCATTGCTGCTTCACGGCAGAGATAGGCGGGGTGGTGGTACCTACGCGTGTGGACTCACAAGAGGTCCTACCACCCGTAAAAAATATCTATGTTCAAACAAAATGTATCCCTTATTCATTTAAATATTCACATCATATAATATCATTTACGATGGGCTTACCGATGACTCCTGCAGCTTTATACCAATGAACCATAAGCTAGCTAGACATTCAGAGGCCCCAACAATTTATTATTCCTAAAAAGTCATATTAAATAATTATAGAAGCACTAATTACAGAAAACATATTATTATCTTGATACATTGTACCGCTCTGAGCTATTGACGGGCGACGAAAATAGTTAGCTAATAAATACAGGTCCTTGAATGTACAACGTTTTTTTTTTCTTATTATCACGAATTATTAGTGCCATTAAAATGTAGCTTATTTATCGTTTGTTATATAATGCGGTTTGTTATGTAGCGGAATACGCCGTGAAGTGGAGTCACTTTGCTCAAATTATGATTTTTACGTTGGGTAAAGCAACTTTTTTTTTTCTACCTAAACTGATGGTCTAGAGAGACCATGTCAGCGTCACCGGGCTAGTAGGTGAGCTCACGCGGCTCAAACCTGACGATGTTGCTAACACGAACTCTAGCATGAACCGTGCGTCGCAGAATCTACCACCGGATCGGAAACGCGACCCACTGAGAAGATCCGGCGAGAAACTCAGTGCGCCTTCGACGAGAACGATGACCGGCGCTCGGGGTATCTAAAAGCACTGTTAGTGGATCGGGAGGATCCGAGATGACGTGTTTTGGGCGACGTCGACTGTTTACCATTTGGTCCGCAGGTTCGGCTATGTAGTTACCGGCAGCCACGATGAGAGGGTTCTCGTGTCGTGCCGCTTTATCGAAATGACGCATTGATGCTTACTGTAGATACTTACTGATGGACTCTCAGTCCAGGTCGTCGTGAAGGTCGAGTAAAGCAACTGGTACAGGTTTTAAAAACTTAATGCATAGTTTTAATATCACGTTTTTTTATTTGTCATTCTGTTAATTCTAACGTTTCGAAAGCCTTACAGTTTTCGTGGTCACGGATTGCTGTCAGTCGTTGAGAGATTAAACCGTAAAAACAATTTAAGTTATGTCTACGGGTCACGAAAACCGCAAAAAGTAGTACCATTGGTGTAGAAATTGTTTTAGTTAAGTGCATAATTTAAGAGAAGCTACAGTACTATTTATTACATACGGTATTCATCTGAGAGTAGATCGGAAATGGGTAGATAAGATTGGTTCATACGATTAAATATGATTGGATGAGTTAAATACATTTAAAGGCAAACCTACTTATTTTCGTGGTTAAACAGATATTAAAGAGATAAGTATTTTTAAATAGTCTTACATCGCTTGGTAGGACCTCTTGTGAGTCCGCACGGGTAGGTACCACCGCCCCGCCTATTTCTGCCGTGAAGCAGTAATGCGTTTCGGTTTGAAGGGTGAGGCAGCCGTTGTACCTATATTGAGACCTTAGAACTTATATCTCAAGGTGTGTGGCGCATTTACGCTGTAAATGTCTATGGGTTCCAGTAACCTCTGAACACCAGGTGGGATAGGCAATAAAAAAAAAACTGAGTACAAGATCAGGGAGTCATCTACTTGATCGAGACGGTTAATTAAAGGATTCCCAACAGCGTTGTTAATCACGCTTTAAACACTTTAAATAGGATAACCCACAAAGTAATTAATTCGCTGTAAGCGTACATTTGTCACAGAGTACGTACAAAAATACCGCAGTTTCAGCGGACCCTCTAAAATGTAATTACAAAGGTAAAATATTAAAAGGTCAAGTGAAATATTGTATTGAGCAACTGTGCTATATAAAATAGAGAAACACGACTTATTACAAATATTTTTCATCTTCAAATTATATTAAAATGGTAATTGGACTAGATGGCTAGATGGTGCGATGGTGCGACCTCCGCACGGTGGCCGGCAGGAGGTGGATGAGGAGAGCAGCAGACCGGGCTTAGTGGTGTAGATTGGGAGAGGCCTATGTCCAGCAGTGGACGACTGTGGGCTGTTGATGATGATGATGATGATGATGGTAATTGGACGATTAAGAGAAAGTTTCACAACTTTGGAACAACAAAAGTTTTAAGATATTTTGAATTTCGGAACAAAATAGTTAATTCAAAGACGACGTTAAGTCTAATAAGTTTTTTAATCACACTAAATAGTGTGGTTGAATATTTTTTGAACAAGAAAACTATACTATGCAGATTCATTTAAATTGGATTCTGTAATTTTCTAAAAAGATGTTAAACATTGTGGCAGCATTAATTTTGTTGAAAATGTTAAAATTAAGTTTACTCTTAATATAATAATAAATGTATATTTTAGCCTCGTGTATTTGAACTAGATGGGGTTTTAAACATGAAAGATAAATACTGTAACAAGCCCGTCTCCGATGTACAAAAAATAAATATCTACTATTAGGCTTTTTTATTTAATCTGAATTATTTTCTAACATGTACATAAATATTGCGCAGATGTTACGATTTCCTTGAAAATTGTTTTGGTATTCATAATTTGCCTACCTAAAATTTTCCCCACCTACAACTAATAGCCTCGAGGGGGTATTCTGGCTTTACCGTATGTGTAGGCGAGCTCACGGGGCTCAGCCTGAGATACTGCTAACATCTGCCCTAGCAAGAACACTGTAGTATACAAATATTAGTGTATTTTGCATGATCTTAAATGAAGTACAGTACCTGACAATAAATATCGCACATCGACTTTTGGAGAAGGACAATCGGATAATTTCGGCTTCGTAGAGCGTTATCTCTGTCGCACAATACCTGTATGACGTTTGACAGTCGTGATTAAAAATAATAACTAAATCAGGAATAAAAAGATAGTGATGGCCACTCTTTAACCGACTTAAAATAAAGGAGCATTTTCTCTTCGGGGCGTATATTTTTTATTTACACGACTATGNACATCGACTTTTGGAGAAGGACAATCGGATAATTTCGGCTTCGTAGAGCGTTATCTCTGTCGCACAATACCTGTATGACGTTTGACAGTCGTGATTAAAAATAATAACTAAATCAGGAATAAAAAGATAGTGATGGCCACTCTTTAACCGACTTAAAATAAAGGAGCATTTTCTCTTCGGGGCGTATATTTTTTA